ATGTGGTACAGCTGTGTAAAGCACGTGTTCCCCACCTTAAGCAGCATCTCCTCATGCTTTGGGTTCTCACAGTCATATGACTCCCTGCGTAGCCTCTCTACCTCCACCACCAGACTCCGGTAGCCCACAATCTGAAAGAGGCTGGCCTGTAGAGAGACCCCCAACCTGTGGAAGAGCAGGTCCTTGCATGATATGGATGTACCATGCGTGCTATACCTACTGCTCAGAACACCTATGGCTAAGGATGTTGCTTACTGTGGGTTTGCATCAGGGTTGATCTTCTTCAGGGTGATGATGTCATCGATTACCTTCTCTACCGAGTCCAGCTGGGCACTCACTGCAGTCTGCAGGAGCTGGAGGGGGGTGACACAAACAGGTGACTATGCAGTGCTGTGCCCTGCAGGCTGCCCCTATGACTGACACACCATGACCTCTAACGGACCACTAACCTCACTCTTTGAGAATTTCAGGGAAGACTCTGCAAAGCAAAGATTAAAATGTTAATGTCAACTTACATTTAATTTATTTTGCAGACTCTTTCATCCAAAGCAACATGCACATTTTTGAGAAAGCAGAGTCAGTATCTGGAACAACTAGCCCAATGGTGAAATCACTTTGCCGGCCCTGGGACTTGAACCGCCGGCCTTCTGATGATAGCCACTTCATCCTAACCCGCAGAGCCATGCAGCCCTCTATACCATAACCAAAAGTTTGTTTCCCCACTTAAAACGTTATAACAGGAGACGTGTAAGAGAGCAACACTGGCTGCAGGGGGTGGACATGGAAATGCGGCGACGGCACGCACCGATCCTGAGCGTCCTGCGGGCGCCAGGCTTGTTGTTGTGGCAGATCCGCTGCAGCTCGCAGCGACCCGTAACCTTTCGCATCACGAACTTGAGGGTGCGCCACAGGAGGGCGCAGTACAGGAACAGGAAGAACTGCATCAGTGCCCTAAGATGGGAGAGAGGGGGGGGGGGGGGCACACATACACGCTCAGCAGGTCACAGGCAATCAGATCATGCCCAGAGAAAATGAGACTACATCACTATGGAAACGCAAAGGCAGCGGGGAGAGGGGTGGGGGCTGCCTTTCACCTGAATTATTTACCCATCTGACTTTTGCAGAGGGAATGGCTGAAGTTTTGCTTCACTGGGCAATGAAGAGCGTGAAGCGTCGGAAGAACCTCCTGCCATCGGCAGCACCGAGCCTGCTGCACCTTCCAGGGCGTGCTGGGCCGGCACCCATCTCTGACACGCCGTTCCACATTCGGGTTATTTTTACAAGCCGTCCCAGAGCACGAAGGAGACTTTTGTGTGAGCTGCGCGACAGACTGGCATGATGGCTCGTGTTGCGAGCGTAAGTAGGACAGGCCGATAAATGGAGCGCCATCTTGGGGCACGGCATGACCTTGCAATGCAGCAGGGGGGCGAGGATTGGAGAAAGACTGTGGACTGTGTCCGGGCTACCAGCATCCTTCTCCCACCCACCGCAAACATACATTCAAATACATCTCAGGTGTGATGCTAATGTGTTATTCTCAAGCCCTAATTACTGATCTCAGGTTTAATCTACATTCTCTACATCTGCTTGATTTTTTAAGTAGAGAGAATGTCACATGACTTCCCTCAAAAGCAGTCCATATCTATATGCCAAGAAAGTGTGCTCAGAGTCTAACTTTGTGCAAATGAACCCAAATCCATTTCAAGATCTTTATGAATCTGTCCTGGTACAGCTGGGACTGCGGATTCGAGGATGGTGAGGTCAAGTGCAGGGCTCCATTGCCCGCAGGAGCGTGGCACATTGTCCGCGGTGATGCCTTCTGTCCCGCAGAAACACGCACAACCGCATCCCACGTGACAACTTCATCACGTGCTGACCATAAATAAACTACGGCTCCTATTACTCAGAATCCACAATAATCAATTGCTTTTGTGGTCCAGAGCAAAATGCATTAGAAAAATTCCACAAGGAGAAGTCACGTGGGAGTTGGGTCAATTAAGCCAGGGGGTGGGGGCGAAGTCTGAAACATGCGCAGTGTAAACATAAATTAATTCACCATAAACATTATTCCAGCAGCATTAAACTTAATAGGGCATCATAATGCAGTAGCGGAAGACGGTTGTGTCATTTTATAAAATAAATGTATATTGTATGTTTCCAACGGCAAATTTCAAATTCAGAATAATCTTTACAGAGACAAGGCAAATATTAGCTGATGGTAATTTATAATCTTTAAATCATATCTGGAGACTAATACCGCACCTACCCTTTAATGCGCGGATAAAAATAATACATTCACCTTTTCATATATATTAAAATGAAAGCCAATTTAATAATCGTGGTTTATGCTCTGCTGTTACTGACATATTGTCTTTTTCTAAATATGAAGGTTTGTCATTGTCATTCCTGTGCCCTGAGATTGATAGTTGATTGATTTGTTATTTTAAGTGCAAGACAAAATGACGAAGCAGTAGCCTATAACACGAAAGATAAAAATAAGATTTGTTTTAAACAGGTTTATTTATTTTAAATAAAGCCTATATGAACTAAAAATGCCATTATGCAATAAAACGACACCTCACTGGTTTTGTCTTCATGAAGATGCAAAAGAGACCTACCTCAGAAAATGCTTCATTTTGTCCTGCTTGCCTCTTCCTGCTTGCGTCTCGGCTTCCTCTTTAAGATTCAGGTATCAGTCTGCGCTCCTGCACGGTACATTCAGATCATTAAACGGCTTGAAATTGTGAACTGCGCTTACATAACATGCATCCTAGACCCCCAAATGCAACAAGCTTTCATTTCATTGCATTTTTTTTCACCTTCCAATAAAATTCCCGGTAATAATCTGCCTCGTTAAATCAGCGTCCAGCACACGGAAACACGCCCGTCGTTTATTTTGCAGCGGACCTGTGCGGAGCCCCGACCTCCGCCCTGAAAATATTTATCATTTTGATATTACTGTATGAAGAAAGACCTGCGTATGTTTCGTTCCTCTTACGCTTCCCTAGTGTGTGTGTTTTGAATCTCGTAGCGGTTCTTTAGTAGGATGTATAACGGAATAAAACCGCAGCATCCGCGTTGCCCAGGCGACAAAACTGAAGTATATATTGAAATACGCACGTATCACAACGTGTAATTCATGCTAGCGGCCAAACCAGGATAATCGTCAGACGTCTTGCAGAAATGCCGTTTCTCTTGTTGTCCCCGGTAATGTCAGAAAAAACGGGGATGTGCTGACATTTGACGGTAATCTAAAGCCTATACCATATCCCAAGCATAATGATGTGCCCTGTTTTTACCTCCGTTGCGGATCCTGCGGGGAAATGCGCTGCGTTTCCTTTAATCAGGTTCTGGTCCTGTCTCAGTGTTTTTGCATTATTGTCACGTTTTGCTGTGTCCCTGACCGGATTTCTTAGCAGGCTCAAGTGTAACCTTCCATAGACTTTTGATCGATACGCTGTTCAGAATGCTGTCATTTCACGTTTTAAAATATATTTTTTCCTAATATACAGTAATATTTGAGTCGTGGCAGGTCTTAACACAATTTTGGTTTAAATGCAGTAATGATTCCAGTTTCTCCACTTCCTGAATAATTGTCCTTTGGTTTTACTGAGATGTACGACAATGTAATTAAGCGCTCCCTGTGCACGCGTTATTTCCTAGATTAAAACCGCAAGGATCCGTATTACACCAGCCAGTTTTCCGTTCGTCTTCCTGTCTTTCAGAGTCCACACTGATGGGGACATAATATTTGTGCAACACTTAAAACACGTAAAAAAACGCATATTGGGGTTCACTGATTAACTCTCACAAATGTCCTTCATAGGGGAATTTAAATTTATATCTAACAATACTGTTGACCATCTTATTTTTTATCCTGATAACAAAACATGAAGGTAAACATGTTACATATTATCAGTTTATAAACATAGGATTTACAAACATATTCTTCATATTACATGCAGTGCATAAGTCCCCAAAACAAAATGAGGGTGTTATCTCCCGTTATCTCCACAGGTGACAAACAGCTGGAGTGTGGAGGCCGGCTTTGGGGACCTTTGTTCTTACACTTAAACCAAAGCTTGAAATACAAAGTGGCACCAATCAAACACAAACGCCACTCCGTCTCACTGTTTGCGAGTGATTAAAACAGCCATTGCATCAAGTGGCATCTTACCAGAAATTTTGCTCAAATAAGGTTCCCTTCTGCCTCTTAGCATCATTAATGAAACATAAAATATTGCCAAGAAACAAAAAAACAGCTTTTGCCCTCTTAAAGCCTGTTTAAAGTAAAGGAAGCTTGTAAGATTGGTGTCAGGGATTCGCTGTATTGTCATGGGCTCCTGTGGGCAAAGCGTCCAGGTCACATGATCTATATCTTAGTGCTCCGCATCACTTCCTGCTCTGCTGCTCCGGCCTGATCTTGAGACAGGACCTGGCCGTCCGGTCCATCCTTGACCTCCGGGCATGGCACGGCCCCGTCTATGACGCCCTGGACCTCGTCACGCTTTGCTGGTGACACCGGGGCCGTGGAGGCCAGGGTGGTGGCATTGAACATCACGAAGCCCACGAGAATCGCCACGAAGGAGACCATGTACAGGCCTGAGAACTGCAGAGAGGCGTGGCGGCGACAGCACAGGGTCAGGCCGCGTGCGGCGAGCGTTGAATGACAAGCCGCTTATGATTTTTATCAATGGCAAATCAAATCGCTGAGACTTTGACCAATTAGTGTGTAAACAAGACTAAAGTGTCTGTAAATGAGACATAAATGAGTTCAGTAAATTATTATACATGTAATCTATGGAGTGTCAACAAAAAACATTATTCAGGAGATAATGAAAACCTCACACCCATACATACTGACTGCCTCCTGCCTTTACTTATAAATTTCATTGTACGTTTCTTACTCATTTTAATACGATGTTCAATATCATGTTTGTGCTGCTGGTTACTTCCCTGGCACCTTGCTCAAGTGCTCGAGAGCAGCATTCCCTGGGAGTGAAACCAGCAACCTTCTGAACACAATGTCTTATCTGTTACTGATTGTTTCCTTGTGCTGGTTGATTTGATTTCCCATCAGTCCATAGGTGCGCCCATTTCCTTATTCCTTGCTGGTTTCACTCTGTGCTTCATCTCCCCGCTCTGTTTGAAGGCCAGAATAGCCACTTCATTGCACCCACAAACCGTGTGAGATAAACCCACAAAGATGGACTCTATTTCTGTTTGCACCAGCTGAAAGGGTTGTTTTTTTTTTGTAGATTCAGAAACTTGAGAATGCAGGATTCCTTTTTATGGCTTCTGTGCTACAGAGAGCAATACTCACGGTGTAGTGGAACAGGAAGACCCCAAAGAAGAAGCTGAAGATGTCGGAGGTCAGCAGAGAGAGGTTGACCGTAGTGGCGCTCGTCAACATAATGACCAAAGGCATCAAGCTGTAGAGCAAAAACAGGCAGAGGGCATAGGCGGCAAAGAGCAGGCCTGCGGACACACAAGGCACAAACAAACAGAGATGATGCCTCTACTACACATACCCATCATGCTTTGCTACACCGCTTAGCTGTTGGAATTTCTTGGACCAAGAACATGTTGTTCTGTCCACACACAAAGGATCAAAGACAGGGTCAGTAACATGATGACAGTATAATATTTTGATACTCTGATAATTCTTCATGTAATCTCATTAGACAAATCCATGTGCCATCTGGCCAGGGGTGTGTCCCGGCATTGTGACCTGCGCTGCCTGGGACAGGATCCAAGCCTCTCCATGACCCTAACCAGGATAAGCTCTTTGAAAAAGGGTGGAAATTAATGTGCATAAAAATATACAAGTATCCCTTTCCTATATGATGACACAACATTACAGCAATTCTAAAAATAAACGGTAACGCTTTACATTAACTGCACCTTCATAACGCCTCTATAAGGCATTAGTAGAACATTCAGTGTACCTTCATAAAATAGACAGACAGACAGATAGATAGATAGATTAGATAGATAGATACTTTATTCATAGAACATTCATAAGCAGCATGTAAGTATACCACTACATCCTATTATACCACTTTATTATCAATTATTAACAATCATTATATGTTTAAACGATTATATTTTTTTCTTATTATCATATAATTGTCACGTCCAGCGCCGCCCTGTGTGTCCCATCCCTACGTTTCCCTCGGACATGGCTCTAAACCAGCCACAGCTGCCTTGTGTTTGCCCCTTTGTTTAGTCATGAAATGAGTGTCTCTTGGGCCTGTGCTTCCTGTTTAGTCGTTGTGATCTGTCGGCGTCTGCCAACCCGGCCTGTTCACCTCACCACGAGGTGGGTTTTGGTTTGAATGCAGACGGCATTTGGGGTTGTGCCTTGTTTGACATCGTGACAGTATGTTTATTATTAATGTTAAGGTATGTTAGGATGTTAAGGTATGTTAGGATGTTAAGGTATACTTAAATGCTGCTTAAGAATCTTCTATGAATGCATTATGCAGGTGCACTGAATGTTCCTCGAATCCATTATAAAGGCATTATGAAGATCCTGTTAATGCAAAGTGTAACCAAATAAATATAGTGTATAACAATAAAAACTATAAAATACCAAATACAGATGATGATTTTCCTATCACGTCATATTGAAATTAGGCCAACTGAATCATAATGTCACCATTTTAATAGTCTGGGACAATGAAAGTAGGACAAAGCTCACCAATCTTCCAGTTCCACCTGATTGCAGCGATGTCTTTCTGCTCCAGGGCAGCACTGCAGAAGCAGAACAACATGACCCGTGGGTCACCCAGAACCATACGCCTCATGCTGACCTTACAGGCATTAAAGTGCTAACGCAGTCTCCTATAGATCATGCAAGTCAGCAACGGCGCATACTGGAAAACCAGAGTCTTCCTGGTTTTGGGTTTGGATCCCAGAGCAATACCAGTATCACATTATAGGGTAGAAGTTGCTGAAGAGGAGGATTGACAAGCTCATCATGCCATCCTGCTTCAAAGGAAGCAGCATCCAGCTGTAAAGATCTACAGGACTGGGGCGCTGATTAGGAGAAGGACTGCCATTACTGCTGAATCTCCTACAGAAGGACTACTTGTGGCCAGCAGGGGGGGCAAACCCCAGAGCACCAAGCAGACATGTGGTTTGAGTAGCGCCCCTCCCTACTCAGCATCCCAGAGAGCACGTCCTACCACTGAATCCCGCTGATCAGAGTCCCGAGCAGCCCCATCATGCCCGGAAAGTCCAGGAGGCTCCCCTGCCTGACTGAATACTCCTGGCCCAGGTTGGTGACAGCATACATGACGGCGCTGACCAGTACCAACCCATCTCCCAGCAAGATGTCACTGGCTGTGAACAAGAGAAGGAGACATATAACCGTCACAGTGTCTAATGTAGCCTAGAGACTTTTCAATACAGTTTAATCTTCTGCTTATGGAAAGCAAATTGTAATGGAAATTAAATTGAGTATCTGTTTATCTGTTCATTTATTTGTATTAATTTATCTGTATGGTACCAGATTGGCTATTTAAACAGCATTCATTGCTATTACATCTAGTCAGGTATGGATTTTGGATATTGGTGGGTATTTAATGTGGTTCCCCCTGCAGGCAGAAAAAGGAGGGTGCAGAATGGTGCACGTCTGTTTGTCCTTACAGGAGCCTTGGTCTCGTCCAGACAACACGTCGGCCCCCACCATGGCCCCAACCCCCAGCAAGCAGATCACCACGGCCACATAATGCATTGCCCGGTATCGGGTCTTCAGGATGAACCAGGACAGCACCATCAGCACTGGGATCACAAAGCAGTCCAGCAGCTGGAAGGCAGGGGCTTCAGACTGAGCTATGGGGGAATGTTCACTGTGGGCCTCCCAGTAAAACAAATGATGGGCTCTCACCTGGATACTGGTCAACGTCGTATACTGGTAGGCCTTCACTAACATGTAATTAGCCTCAACATCTGCCAGAGCTATAAGCCCATATCTCCACCAACCTGTCTTCAAAATCTGCAAAATATTTCTGTTGCCTGAATTAAAACAAGAATGTCCCAATTGTTATTTATAGTGTTGATTTTCACTCAGACCAAACGTGCAAACACTGTGCCGTTTATCAGCTGGTGTCGTGTTGCAAATGATAAAGTGCTTGAGGGCAGGAACAGTGCCAAGACGAAAGGGGGCTTATTAAACTCAGATTCATTCAGTCAGGCTACTTTCCGTATCCCGAACGGGAAATTTTTGTGTTGCAATACGCATTTACATAAACGACAGGAACACACAGGCAAGATGTGGGTAGACATAACACCAAATAACAAATTACAAAAATATATATGTTTAAACATGCTAAATGTACAAATCTTCATGGGCAAAAAAATGTAAATATGCATTGTGCATTATGTATTGCCGCAGAGAAGCCGGCTCCTTTTCCTGCACGGAGAGGAGTCAGTTTAGGTGGTTGTTGCCATTACTTCCTGTAATGATCTTTATTGCAGTAGAACTAAAGTAGTCTCTGACTGAAGACACTCTGTTGTCTGGCCAGTAGGTTGTGTATGGGGTGTGTAGTATTTTTTTTTTCTCAGTTATTTTTTTTCCAACTCACAGAACATAAACTGGAAATAAACAAGATCACTAGGGATCAAGACAGGAGCAAGGAATGGCCCAGGCAACACAAGGGTTCGGCATCATTGATTGGACTGGGGAGTAAAGGACTGAGGCCATGTCCACACGTACATGAATATTTTTAAAAATGTAGCTTTTTCTATGCGTTGTGGCCTTTCATCCACACGCAAACGGTGTTTTACGTCACTGAAAACAGAGCCTTTGTAGAACCATGTCTAGATTTTCAGAAACGCGTGACGTGTAGACAAGGAAAACCGAGTTTTTGGCTTGTAGAGTCAGATTGTGCACCATTATCCACTTTGTTTGTGGACAGTGTGCACCTTTCACTGTTACCATTAGCTGTGTTTGGCCTAGCAGAGCCAGTAATAAGGCTTCTGACTGGCCAAAATGGCTTTACAGTTATATCGCCGCATGTTGGTTTGCCGGGTTCTTGGCAGCGCGTTTTAGCGTTTTCATGTCGATGGAGATTTTTTTAAATAATAAGAGGAAAAATACAGTTTTAAAAAATACCCATGTACATGTGAGAAGTATGTATTACCATGTTAAGGGTCATGCTCGTGTTAAGTACCATGTTAAGGGTTCATTCTCAAGGGCCTAACAGTGAAATCACTCAGGCAACCCCATGATTTGAACCAACAGCCTTTCGATCATAGACACAACACCCTAACGCACTGAGCCACGCACCACCCCGACTTACAGGCTAGAACCCTGGTCCTTCAGCACAATATCAGTGATCTCCACTGAGTCATGCATTTCTTTTCCTCTCATATGCAATAATATATAAAAATGTCTTGAGTCAAATGAGATGCATGGTCTACAGGTATGATGTCACAGGTACCGTCTCTCTAAGTGAGCCAATCAGCCACTCACCTTTGCGGCAGGCCAAAATTGTGGAGTAGGTCAAAAACAGCAGCACGTAATATATGAAGTTCTGAAGCATAGGCGCGTTAACATGGAAGTCCGTGGCCAGGTACTGAGAGCAGATGGCTGAGCCACAGATCATAGCAGACAGCATCTGACCCATGGCTGTGGTCTTCAGCAGACGCCTGAAATCAATAACGTCGCTGAGATTTCGGAGACCTGCGATAATGACCGCCGGCAGGTTTTCATCAAATCGTTATTCCATCAATATCTATCATCAGTTTTCTCAGTCTGTGTCTGACACATCAGGGCACAATTCCACAGGAAATCAGGCAGCTCACCATGTGAAAACCTCCCTCAGCTTCTGGATCCAGCATCTGTTACCCAGGACATCCCTTTCACCGTCCCCGTTTTCTGCGTCGGTGGGCCCTGGCTCCTCTGGTGTCATCCTGTGATGAAGCAGAAGAGCAGAGAGTCCGAGAAACAGAGTCTCCAATGACACTTTAGCCACAGATCTGCACTTTATGGCACCAAGGGCTGAATCATTAACAGCCCCCAAACCAAAGTGCATAGCGAGAATCCATTCTTATCTTTCTTGGAACGTGCTCATTAATTGATCTTAAGTAGCTGGAGGACCATGTTAGTTGAAGAAAAACTTGTCCTGATGCTTCAAGCTGCCCTGGACTGGCGGGTTTTTCTCAGTCAGGGCACATGTGACCAGCCGTCATGGGAATCACATGGATGCCGTACCCCCATGGGAAAAAAATAGGAAAACAATCCCCTTTGAATATATACTATCCCCCCTCACCATCCCTGCAAACTGTTCTACGTAAAGGTAAAAGTACCGGCGATATCAGAGCACATTCTGGATCGAAACCCAGGACCGGCAAATATTATCATGGGGACCCCAAAAAAGATTTAACCCGAACCATTACCTTTGAAATATTTTGTCAACTTGACCTAGAGCTGAGAAAATTGCATTAACCAACAATCATAATCTACTATATTTTTATAGGGGTCCGTACTATGTTACCCTTACTAAGTTAGTTAAACCTGGATTAATTTAATGAAAATGCATATGCTTAATTCAGAATTAGGAAGAATATAACGTGCTTCGTTCCAACAGGGACATCTTGTGGACAATTTATTGCATGACAAAAATATAACGTTATGATCCAAATACATCAGGATGTATTCGGAGAGTAAATAGATGATACATCCAATTAACAGAATTGAGATTACTGTGCATATTGTTGCTTATTCATTTTGGTTCTCGATTATACATGTATTTGAATGGGAAGCGCAGCCGATTGATTTACAAATATGGAACAGAACGAGCAACCCCGTGGGGTGACGTCATGCTCACTGGGGGGGGGGGGTCGCGGATTTGTGGTTGCCAGGGGTCATGTGACCTGCCCATATATGGTTCTGCATGCTTGCGCAGAGCTAAGTTTAGCATGGGTTTAATGTTAGCCAGCTCGCTAACTAGCCGCACGATATCAGATGCAAAAACTAAGAAAGACCAACAACAAAATGCAAAGCTTATTATATGTAAACGTGTGAACTGTTTAAATCACCAAATAACGTTACGATTTGTTCATTTATTGTAATCATTTCGACCTGTCACGGACTGTGCCGGATGATTATACTGGCTTCACAGTAGATCTCGTTCGAAAGCCTCTGGCAACCGAGTGTCGCGACTCTCGCGAGACCGCGCGTGGGGATAAGTTGAAGAAACATGGCGACGTCTCATTTGCTGAAGGTAGGGGATACACACTTCATTTTAAAATTGGCACGGTTCTGTGAACAGGAAAAGGAAACAAAAAATCCTCCTCGGTGGTCGCCCATCTTTAGCAAGGAGCTAGTGTCTTAAAAAAGGCGGTGGCATATGAGCTTCGGCGAGCTGCTACGGTTTTGCAGCTACTGTAGTCGGCTGGCTAGCAAGCTAATATGTGAAGCAGCCTCTCTGTAGTCATAAACTTATAAAGGTTACTTCCGCTGACAATTTAATTATAGTGGTATTAAAACTACGCTACTATGGTAGTGTTCAAATAACATGCAAGGCGTGCGGATTGATACGGACTTTTGGAGGTTATGCCCAGATATAATCAGGTTATGTGTGTCAGTGCTGCTTGGCCGGGTTTGCCAATGTCAGTCCGGCACTGGATTCCTGTGTCCCGTCTCACCAGTATAAACAGAGGAAAGTGCCGTTTAATGTGTCCCCTCCGAATCCAAATAAACAATGATGATGATTTTCACCCGCCCAGCATTTTGACTTTTACCTGTCATTCCCCTGTTATGTTGTAGCCCCATTTGTGTTCATCACTTGCTAACATGCCTCCCTGCCATAATAGGATGTGCCAGTTTGTACTGGCTGTTTTGGGTGCACCTCCAGCTGTCTGTGTATCTGCATGGTTATTTTTAATCTTTACGTTGCTCCTTTGCTTAGCCTTTAATATACCGACGCTGACTTTTGGTACTCACGGACAGAATTCCTTGGAAAGGAGGTGATCTTAGGACAGGGGTTTTCAGGCAGCATTAGTGATATGCAACGTGTGCATGGTTAGCTGGACGCTTACTGATGGGTATCTTCACTGTTTGGCGGTCCCCAGCATGTTTGTAGAGGGTGACAGGGGAAAATATGACACCCCCACCCCCGGCCTTGTTTTTAACTGCTGCATGGACCAATGGAATTTCCTCACTCCCTCTGCAAACCTCTTCCTTAAATCCATGTGTTTGTTTCGTCAGTGTCTTGTAGGTCTATGGATATTCAGTCCAGATGCAATTGAAACGTGAATAGAATGATTTGGGCAAAGTAGTCCCTACTCCACTGAACTCCATTACTGCGATCAGGTCCTGGTTTTAATATAAAAAAACCTTTTTTGGCTGTCATGTGGGTGTCATGAGTCCTGAGAGGAACCTGTGAGGTCTTTGCACATGTCTAAAGATCTGTTTAAAGTCAAATTGACAGTTTAGAACTTCACTTGAAGCAATGTTTTGCATAACTTCACACACATCTTAATTTTTTTTTTATATGAACTGTATGCATTGTTGGAGTTTTTTTCTAAATGTTTGTCATACTCAATTTGAAGTTTGTGTTTTGGACACTGATCTACATGGACCAGGGGAATTTTGGCTGTAAATCCCTGTGATATATGTTCTTTTCCTGAGGACAGTTTTGAGTGTCTTATTTTGGTTGAATTATTTTCTATTGACTTGTGTGTCAATAGATGCGTGTAACAAAAAATGGCATTTGTGGCAGAGGCAGGAAATACCAGGTCATCCCCATCCCCTTCCCTAGTGATTGCGGTTGCTGGTATTGCACCTTTCTTCCCAGAACAAAGGCTCCCTCCAGTTTGAGGACAAATGGGATTTGATGCGGCCCATCGTTCTGAAACTCCTTCGTCAGGAGTGCGTATCCAAGCAGCAGTGGTTCGACCTCTTCTCGTAAGTGCAGTCTTCTCATCTTCATTCTCTTGTCCTCCTCCACCCACATCCTTTATACGTGAACAAATGGGGGGTCTCTGCGGGACCAAAAGCCCCCCACTCTCTTACTGGCCCATAGTGCAGGTGACTGTAGCATGAAGAACATCACATCCACATTCATTGTCTCACTTTTAAGATCCTCTTCACTGGGAATTATCTACTAAAATTATATAATATATATAACAACCCCAGTACACTTTTATACGTGTCAGAGAGGCAACGGAGGGTTTAATGTTGCCTCTGAATATCTTGTCTTATTCTTGGTTTATGGGTAGTTTTTTAAGAGAGTAATTTGGAACATTTTTTTCTTCATGCATTCTCCATATGCAGCTCAGTACTGTGTAAATTACCACATAATCGAACATGTGACATGGTGTATTCATCACCTCCTTTGCAGAGACGTCCACGCGGTATGCCTCTGGGATGACAAAGGACCAGCAAAGATTCACCAGGCTCTGAAAGAGGACATCTTAGATTTTATCAAGCAAGCTCAGGCGGTAAGATGCCTCCTCAGAACACAGAGGTGTTTGGTCAGTTTGTAGAGCCAGGTGACAGTTTTTGAGTGAATGGGATTCTGAGCCTGATGGGTGGATCTGGGCCTCGCTGCTGGTACTAACGGATTCTGTCATCTGCAGCGAGTGCTCAGTCACCAGGATGACACAGCGCTGCTCAAGGCCTACATTGTGGAATGGCGCAAGTTCTTCACGCAGTGCGACATCCTGCCAAAGCCTTTTTGCCAGCTGGAGATCACTCTGATGGGCAAGCAGGGCAGCAACAAGAAGTCCACAGTGGAGGACAGCATCGTCAGGAAGGTGAGGTGGGAGGGGAGGCGGAAGGCAGCGGGGAGAATGGATGTTCTCTAAGTCATGGGTGTAGATCTGAACATAATCCACTCAATCAGCGGTGCCTTTTGTAACAATGTCCTTTGAGGGATCCTCCGTCTATTGTGGGATCTCCTATACTCTGACCGTATGTAACCTGTTTTGATAGAGATGACCGAATCCGCCCACAGTCTGGCAGGGTCCAGAGTTTCAGGGTGGGTGGGGACGGGCAGGAGCTCAGATGTCATTTCTGGCCGCTTCACATGCAAATCAAACTTAATGACGAAGCGTAACACTATCATGATGTAATGTGATACAGTGTGACCTAGTTCAGGAGAAGCCGGTGATTACATTCCCCTCTTAAAACGAAACGACATTATTACCCAGCTAGTAATGGACTGTCTGTCTGCCTGCCAGAGTGTGTGAGGTGCATGTGGTGTCCACGTGTTTGGTGTGAGCATGAGCTTACAGGTGGGTTGCCGACCTTTCTGGCCATGCTGACTTGTTTACCCCCCTCCCTCCTCATCAGCTCATGCTGGACACGTGGAATGAGTCCATCTTCTCGAACATCAAGAGCCGTCTACAGGACAGTGCTATGAAGCTGGTGCACGCAGAACGGTTGGGAGAGGCCTTCGACTCCCAGTTGGTCATCGGCGTCCGCGAGTCCTACGGTGAGCACCGGGTGACAGGGATTGGGGGCGATATGGGACACGGAAGCCACATCTTGTTTTCTGTATACTTACGCGGCGTGGCTGGCTAATGATGCCACTTTCGTCCATCATGTTTAGTTTGTCTGGTCGGGGTTTGACCACATCCCAGCTGAGGAACCTCGTGTTCTTCCCATTAGTCATTCAGGCCTTGGGTTCGGCTCCATAATTTGTGTCTCATTTAATCGGCACGTCTGTGCTCTGCTCTGTTCCCACCAGTAAACCTGTGCTCCAACCCAGAGGACAAGCTGCAGATCTACAGGGACAACTTTGAGAAGGCCTACCTAGATTCCACAGAGCGCTTCTACAGAGCACAGGCCCCCTCATACCTTCAGCAGAACGGCGTGCAGAATTACATGAAATATGTGCGTGCATGTGTGTGTGTTCGTCTTTGTCTCTCCTGATGCTTATCAGCAGCTGTTTTGCATGCCAGATAGCCAGGCTTTAGACTAAATTATCGGTGCTGATGTTTGTTTTTGCAGGCAGACGCTAAGCTGAGGGAGGAGGAAAAGCGAGCCCTTCGTTACCTGGAGACGAGGCGTGAATGTAACTCTGTGCAGGCGGTGAGTACTGGGTGGGGGGGGCGTTTTTGGTCACATGATCACTTGATCACATGATCGTCTGATCTCATGATATCCCGGCAATATGAATCACCTCATGAGAATGTAACAGGGGCTTGGTGTACACATGAAAGCAAAAAAAGTACTAAGAATAGTTTAATTGGCATTTCTGTGGTTTGGTTTATTTAACCTGCCAGATGCCCATTCTCTACATTCTCTGCTGATGGGCAGTAAATATTCTGGGAAATTTGGGGGTGCAGTAGGCAGTGGATTTAATACAGATTGTTGGTGGTGCTGGTGAAGACCAGCATTTTAATTAATAATCGACGGGAAGGGGGGGGGGGGCTGGCAGACTGGGGGCTGACAGCCGTCAGGCTTTGGTGTCTTCCAGCTCATGGAGTGCTGTGTCAACGCGCTGGTGACGTCTTTTAAGGAGACCATTTTGGCGGAATGTCCAGGCATGATCAAACGAAATGAGACAGAGAGTGAGTAGCTCCGTCGGATGGGGTGCTTCAGCGAGCCACTGCTCTGGTCTGTGTGCACTTGTGTGAAGCCCTCCAGCTCGGGGTGCATGCGGCTGCAGCTGAAGGTCACATAGAGCTCGTCGTTCCCACCCCAGACTCTGTCCTGCCTTCCCTGCAGAGCTCCACCTCATGTTCTCGCTCATGGACAAGGTGCCCAGTGGCATCGAACCCATGCTGAAAGATCTGGAGGAGCACATCATCAACGCGGGGCTGGCGGACATGGTGGCTGCCGCGGAGACCATCACGACCGTAAGTGCTGCGGTGGGGTGGAGTGCCCCCTACTGGGGGATGTCTGCTGCTGCAGCTATTTCAGGAGATCACTGTCGGAGGTCCTCATAGTGTCTGAGTGCAGGTACTGGCAGAGGACCATAAGGTTAAAGGTGTGACTTAAAGTCATCACCATGGCTATTTGGCTGCCCTCGCCGCCATTTTAGTTTGATTTTTACCCAGTACCTCCTCTTACGGTTCTTAGTTGGTTTCCCAAGCGTGTCTCTGTCCCGAGAGGCATGTTGATGAAGACAATGTGTCTGAGCTCATTCTGCAGCAGACGGAGCCGGACGCCTGCCCCACGCTCCTGTATGAGCCTGGATGTGAGTGTTGGCGTGTGTCTGTGTGTCTGTGTGTGTGCAGGACTCGGAGAAGTACGTGGAACAGCTCCTCACGCTCTTCAATCGCTTCAGTAAACTTGTAAAGGAGGCCTTTCAGGACGACCCGCGATTCCTGACGGCCAGAGACAAGGTGAGAGCCCTTCCCTCCCCCTTCCCTCCCTCCCCCCTCCCTTGTGTCTTTCACTAATACATTATTGATTGAGTATCATTTATAATCATAAGATGCACAGCGCTAATGGACCAGCACACATTGCAATTAATAGCTGTTTATATGAGGTATTATTACTCTCATTTAAAGTGAAGTGTGTCTCTCTCTCTCTCCTGAAAGATGCTGGTTGATAAATGGCCTAATGCACCCCCCCCCCCCCCCCCCGAGACACCCTGGGATAATGAAAAGTATAATCACTATGTGCTTCTTCCAGGCCTATAAAGCTGTTGTGAACGATGCTACGATATTCAAACTGGAGCTTCCCCTCAAACAGAAGGGGTGAGTGTCTCCCCTTCCATTCTTACGTCTCACTGGGGAGGGCGTGTCTGACTTTTGGTGGGTCCCCCTCCCCCACAGGGTGGGTCTGAAAACCCAGCCAGAGTCGAAATGCCCGGAGCTGCTGGCTAACTACTGTGACATGCTACTGAGGAAGACACCACTTAGCAAGAAGCTCACGTCCGAAGAGATAGAGCTGAAGCTGAAGGAGGTGGTAAGTTTTCCTCTGGCTGGGTGTGTATCTTTGTGATGTCCTGCTTATGGACCATCCATGGTGAGTGTGCTGTTCATTCTTATTCACTGTTTGTGGATCCATCCCAGGTTCACTTACCTTTGTTCACCTGTGTCTTGGTGTAGCTCCTAGTTCTGAAGTATGTCCAGAACAAGGATGTGTTCATGCGATACCACAAGGCCCACCTCACACGACGGCTGATACTGGACATCTCGGCCGACAGCGAGATCGAGGAGAACATGGTGGAGTGGCTCAGGGTAGGGTGACCATGCTGCAGCTCCACCTTGTGGCAAAATTGGGTTTTGGTGCCGAAATCGAAACAAAAAAATGGTACTGTGAGTGGTGGTCTGTACGGGTGAGCGGCCATAATAGGGTTTAGCTTGTTTTCAGCTTCCGGAGCATTCCTTTTATGTAAGCCTTGTGTCCCGCAGGAAGTTGGCATGCCTGCCGATTACGTGAACAAACTGGCCAGGATGTTCCAGGACATCAAAGTATCAGAGGACCTCAACCAGGTCTTCAAGGAGATGCACAAACACAACAAACTGGCGTTACCAGGTGACATTCTGCATATTTGGTGTCTCCTGTGTGTGAGGTGCTGCGCTGATGTCCGTGTGACACTAACTGCTCCTTTCCCATATCCCTGCACTTCTGACTCAGCTGACTCAGTCAACATAAAGATCCTGAACGCCGGGGCCTGGTCGCGCAGCTCTGAGAAGGTGTTTGTCTCGCTGCCCACGGAGCTGGAGGACTTGATCCCTGAGGTGGAGGAGTTTTACAAGAAGAACCACAGCGGCCGGAAACTGCACTGGCACCACCTCATGTCTAACGGCATCGTGAGTGGCCGGGCAGGGAGCAGATGCAGTGAAACCCCACCCCAAGCCTCGCTTAACCAATTATCCTTCATGTTTC